AAGCAAAGGGAAAGAGAGAGCAACAACTACAGTGAAATAAACTGACAAAGAGCGAAAAAAAAGAATCATGTCACTGCTGTGTGTATGTTACATAATTTAGTGGCAGGAGAATGGTTAGAAGTGAGACCCATAAGATTTAACACGTTACTGATCAGGGACTAGCCTCTATCCTGAACGTTATTCAGAATCCCAACATGCTGCTCTAATCAGACAATCTCCTGGGGTCTTTTCACTGAGTCAGATTGGAAAAGCCTCATCAGGTTCCACTGAGTTTCCTCAGGACACTGATCCTGGTAATCAAGACAGAGAGAGTGTTTTACATCTGGTGTGTGTGAGAATGTTTTCTCCTGGTATAACAGAACTTTCTTATTTTGGAGATGTCAGAGCTCGGAACAGAAAGGACATTGTTAGGAGGGAGGGAGAGACGGAGGCAGGAGGGAGGTTTCGGTGAATAAAATTGAACACAATAATAAAAGACGACACGGTTGAGGATATTTTAANTTTGTTTATTAAAACACACAAACTAACAACTATTTTAAGAATTATTAATAATATGGACTTCGGTCTATTGGCAAATAAAAAATATATAAATAACCATTGCCTTAGTAAGTTTTGTATGTGTATGAACCAGTTCTCCAGTTATTCAATTAAATCTAATTTAGGTGTTGTTCTGATGGTGCTTTATATTTTGATTGAACCTGACATCACCTTGTTGAGATCGAGGAAGATTATCTTAGAAACTCTGGTTGGCTTGTTCCAATCAGAACAGAACCAAAGAAGATGAAATTCCATGGTGCACACAACTATAGCGCTTCACAAGTGTTCCAACAGGTCCTTCCTGATGGCTGTCCCTATAGACCTCGGTCATGTCTACCCAGCCCCCACAAGTGCCATCACCTACAGCTCATAGCACACCAAGTTTTTCCATTGAGAGCTTTCCTGCAAATCGCAGGTGAGGGAGGGGATGTCATGGACGTTTGAGCAGCACAAGGTCAGATCTACATCAGTATCCCATTTTGATCTATCCTCAATTATCAGATTGTCTACAAGTGTTCATTTGTATTCCCCATGTGGCTCCTTGTAGAGAGGACAGCAGGAAGGTCCTGAACATTGATGGGCAAGAAAGTCTCATCAGTGTCTCCCAAGTGTCTGCAGCAGGCACAGCCTGAGCCTCACCTGAGCTGCAGACAAAGCAACTCAGTCCTGGAGACTAGAACACAGAGACCACATCCAC